GCTATCTTCGCCATTAATTCACAAAATTTTGTAGACAGTCAAAATTCAACTATCTGCCTAGGCATTTGACAAAACCCCTGATTTCACTATTTGCCTGCGACAAATGGATACTCGATTGTTCTCGGGCGCAACTCTTTTGAGCGAGGAGCCAAAATCAGGTAAAAACGGGAACCCTTTCGGGCGAGTAAAAAGTTTGGGAAATAGAGAGGGGAATAGAATGACGGGGTGGATTTTGGGCGACGTCGATCGGGAGGCTCGCCCTACCCTCCGCCCGATGAAGTCTTTGATGGATACCATACCTTGATCTCCAGTCCATTGCTCCTCAAGGCGACCCTAATATCATAGCATCCATGAAATGTTTTTCAGATTACGTTGTAGAAAATTATATTCTATTTGCATCTCGTCCGCCTTCTCCTCAGCCGCGCACCGCCAACGGCCCGGAGTCATTTCACAGCAATGGAGATGTTGCATGTGTGAGGAATTGGCGATTTGACTGTTGATTCTTGTGTAAAAGTTTGCGAGAAACACGATGGTGCCACTGGTTTTCTCTGAAATCAACTCCCAAGCTCAAAAAAAGCTCTCAAGTTGAGGCCAAAATGGAGGGGATATCCCACGCTATCCTGAGAGTCCACCTCTACATCAAGACAAACTCTCCATGCAGAGATAGGAAGCAGATACATATTAGCAGGGTTGCCGTTTTTTCAGTTTTTGAGTCCCCAAATAAAGTGGCAGCCCTCTCAATGTATTTGCTCCCTATCTTCGCATGGAGAGTTTGTCGTGATGTAGAGGTGGACTCTCAGGATAGCGTGGGATATCTCCTCCATTTATGCCTCAACTTGAGAGCTTTTTTTGAGCTTGGGAGTTGACTTCAGAGAAAACCAGTGGCACCATAGTGTTTCTCACGAACTTTTACATAAGAATCAACAGTCAAATCGCCAATTCCTCACACATGCAACACCTCCATTATTTTTCAGACACTCAAGGGGAGTCCATCTTTTCTGCACAAAAGTAGGGGGTTCCTCGACCAAGATCGCGTATCTTCTTTTCTCATGACAATAATTGAAATAGCCTTCATGCACGCTGGGCTTGTCGATTTCCTTTCACACTTTTGCAGTGGTGAATGCATAGCTGAAGTGCGCTCCAGCTAGAATTGTATTTAGCAAATGGGTGGTATTTATACGAGGATTGAAAATAAACAAGTGGTACGGAATAAAACAAAAGAATATGAACTATGAAAAACGATAATCCGGGTATCGGAAAAAAAAAAAAAAAAAAAAAAAAAAAAAAAAAAAAACAAGTGGTACGGAATATAACAAAAGATAGAACTATGCAAAGCGATTGTCCGAATAGCGGAATATGGCTGTTTTGAAAACGCCTTCGGCTGCGGCGTGATACCTCACGCATTCCGGAGAGTTCAAATAGTTGTATCATTGCACCGTAAGGATGTGACGGAAGATTAAAATGGAAATAGCCTCCATGCACGCTGGGCTTGTCGATTTCCTTTGACACTTTTGCAGTGGTGAATGCATAGCTGAAGTGCGCTCCAGCTAGAATTGTATTTAGCAAATGGGTGGTTTTTATAAGAGGATTAAAAATAAACAAGTTGTACGGAATATAACAAAAGAATATAAACTATGCAAAACGATAATCCGGATAGCGGAACTTGGCTGTTTTGAAAACGCCTTCAAATGCGATGTGATACCTCACGCATTCCGGAGAGTTCAAATACGAGGGGCGTTCAATAAGTAAGTATCCCCCCTCTCTAAAATCAATAGGAATGGACCAATTTTTAAAAACTTGGGCTCAAAATCTTTCTTAGGATATTCTGAGTTCAACAAAACAAACCGCAACAAAATCGGACCATATGCGGCCGAACGCGAGCCGTTTGAACGCGCCGAGGTGCGCGCCGCTCCCGCCGAATCCGCGGAAATTTGAAGTCCACGACAAGAGAAGAGCTTCTCTGCCAACGCTTCAGTCGTTCATCACTGATGAAAAATCAAAGAAATTTTTGTAGAATAAGGGGCTTACCTCACCTCTCTACATGACCAAGCAGGTGATCCAAGCAGGTCTAACATTGATTGTGAGACTAAGAGAACAGATTTTGGATACCACGCGTGTAGAGGTCTTTCAACTGGCTGGGGATGAAAGTGTTGACGGCTTGTTTGACCTCTTCCACTGATTCAAAATGAACTCCCCCGAGTTCAGATTTTAGATACGGTAATAAATGGCAACACAGACCACCATTTATTCCCCTTTCTGAAATCAGAACTCGGGGGAGTTCATTATGAATCAGTGGAAGAGGTCAAACAAGCCGTCAACTTTTCATCCCCAGCCAGTTGAAAGACCTCTACACGCGTGGTATCCAAAAGCTGTTCTCTTAGTCTCACAATCAATGTCAGACCTGCTTGGATCGAGCTGGTCATGTAGAGAGGTGAGGTAAGCCCCTTATTCTACAAAAATTTCTTTGATTTTTGATCAGTGATGAACGACTGAAGCGTTGGCAGAGAAGCTCTTCTCTTGTCGTGGACTTCAAATTTCCGCGGATTCGGCGGGAGCGGCGCGCACCTCGGCGCGTTCAAACGGCTCGCGTTCGGCCGCATATGGTCCGATTTTGTTGCGGTTTGTTTTGTTGAACTCAGAATATCCTAAGAAAGATTTTGAGCCCAAGTTTTTAAAAATTGGTCCATTCCTATTGATTTTAGAGAGGGGGGATACTTACTGATTGAACGCCCCTCGTAGTTGTATCATTGCGCCTTAGAAATGCGACGGAAGATTACAATTTTGAGAATTTAGGAAAGCAATTTCGTCAGCTTGTGCAGCGGCGTTTTCCATGTAAATGCGATTTTGTGCGGAAACGATGACCTCAAGAAGTTGTGCGGAAATGATTTTAAGCGGAAATAAGGAGGTGCATTCCAATCTAGGGATTTTTTTGATGAGATAAAAGAAGGTATAAATCGACTCTTTTAACTTTTACCCTCAATTTGACCTTCGACTCTATAGAAAATATTTTTTCATCTATATTTTGTAGGCATGTAGGCCTTATTGGCAACACTATTTTTCCCCAATAATGAACCGGAACATATAACGATAGCGTCACTCGATATACTTGACATTGTCAATTCAACAGAATAAAAATAAAAATTAGAAAATAATAAAAAAATTCCTTAACTAATATTCTTTCATTTATTTATTGGTCCGTTCAATCACGTCAAGCCAATCAGATTTAAGTCATCAAATGCGAATCATCAATGTATTCCTCTCTTCAAAATGATGTTTATGTAATTTTGACCGTCAACATTTTAAAAAATCTGCATTTTAAAAAATAATGTATCTTTTTAAATGAATGCTCATTTCCGGGCTAAAGTCATTACAGCACCTATGCAATGATGCAAATTGTTAAATATGAAATGGGGGAGGGGGGGGGGCTCGGGATCATTAAAATCGGATTCCTTGGAGTCAATAACGTGGTATAAAACATCATTATCCGGAACATCCGCGACAATTTTTGACCAAAGGCAAACTTTGGAAGGAGCCGCTGTCCCCCCCTCTAAGAGAGCATTTTTCGGCGTAAAGTGGTCCAATTTTGGATTTTCAGGGGCCGATTTCACAAGAAATTTTTCGTACTTTTCAATTCTTATGAAATCGATTGAGAAGCCCGACTTTTCGGATCGTGACCTCCCCTTTGCTCCCCAAGGGTGGCTGGTGGGGGTGGGGGGAGGGGGTTGGTACGAGATCCCCGCGGTCACCGACTTCGACCTGAATCAACCGAGAATGAAGCACACGAGTGCTCTGGGACACTCTGTATGTACGAGGGGGGACCCAAAAAAAACCGGAATTTTGCTGTAACTTGGCAACAATGGAAAATATTCCTGTTCCACCGCTAGGAGGTGTAACTAGGAGCTATGAGGAGTCACTAGGCCAAATTTCAACATCGTAGCACATTTTCTTTCCATTTTGGCGAGACTTGGCTTCAGGGGTGTTTGGCGACTTCGTAGTTTTTGAAGATAGGTGATTTTCATAGGCTATGTGTGGCTAAACTCTGACAATTTTCGGAGTGAATGTTGCCGGGAACATGATTTACCTATAACATATGTGAAAAAATGTTTTTCTTCGTTTTAAAGTGTGATTTATTGTTCGAACGTAGGCTGAACGCCAGGCGGCCGTCACCGGCTAGCGCGCAAAATAGGGGATCAATTCGGCAACAACGCGTTTTATGCCAAAATTTTTCACAGCAAATGTTCTGAATATTTCCGTAATACATCCAAGTGATATCTGCTAGTAGACAAAACGATATTTAACCATGTTCATTCACAAAAACGCGATTTATTTCATGTTTTCATCGGTTCTAGCCGATGGCGATAGCGGTTTAGCGCCGTACAGGGGTTTCGGGCGATACAGACCATTTTAAAACTGAAAAACCGTACTTACACTGAACTTTTTGATAAGGCTTATCCTTCAGAAGCAGCACTTTAAAATATTAACGGAGAAAGCCGTATTTTTATCGAGCAAGATAGAAAAATTTGAGCTCTAAGTGTTGTTACTGAAATTGACCCATCTTCAAAAACTACGAAGTCGCCAAACACCCCTGAAGCCAAGTCTCGCCAAAATGGAAGAAAAATGTGCTACGATGTTGAAATTTAATCTAGTGACTCTTCATAGCTCCTAGTTACACCTCCTAGCGGTGGAACAGGAATATTTTCCATTGTTGCCAAGTTACAGCAAAATTCCGGTTTTTTTTTGGTCCCCCCTCGCAGATAATTAGTGAATTTGAGCAAAAATCAACCTAGAATACTTTGTTTCCGCAATTTTATTCAGTCCCCGCCCTATATTTAAATTTCAAACCTGACCCGATTTCGCCGCCAATCCTCTAGCTAATCGGAGAGTTCGCACGGTCCTAGGTCGACAAATGTCTTTGGTCGACAAGGAACAAACGGAATGAAGAAGAAGAACAGGGACCTGGAGCTCTTGAGCTGGAGCTGGCGGGTATTGTTTACATTCAGAATGAAAATGGTGGCAAATGCCAACTGTAACACTCTAACTGTAGCTGATCACATCTGATTTTATCAGTCATCTGGCCAGCATGAGCACGACGAGGCTGTGGAAATCGTTTCCGTTACATTAATTTTGATACTCAAACTCTTTTACTCTGTGACGATGACTTTTACACTTACAAAACATTAGACTCTTCGTTGGCACCACTGACTACATTTCAAAACCCTGCAATTTGCTGGGCCCTACTATTACATTTGACAACCTTGCAAAGAGCTGGCGGGTTCAGAAAAGTATAGGGCAACGGGACCTAACCAAACCTGGACACAGCAGGCGAGAGTCACAACGGCCACTTACGCGAGTGACTCTTCTATGAAGCTCCGATTGTGTTGTGTTGCACGTTGCATGAAGGAGATTTCAATTTCGCGAAGATTCTTCAGAATTATTAATCCTTTTCGTCGTCGAGTAGGTTTTATTCGTGCTAAATTGGACGTCTGTGGAAGTGTGCAACGGTCCAATTCAGGCGAAAGTCTGTTCGGTTCTCATCTCACTCTCAGCAATTAACCATAATAAGTAACGAGCAATAATTTAATTAACGTTTTTAAGATATTCATGCATTTATTCTCCAACTTTCTGTGCATTCAACTAACCTTACGTATCACAAAATTCCTGCACTATCTTAAAACTGACCACGCAAATATTTCCTGAGTAAGTACCATACTGAACTGTGTCGGTACCACTGGTCCCTTCCATCAAGATTTCTATTTTACTCTGAAACCTTATGTAGTCAAATCTCTAAGAATTGTCGCCAGAATCTATTCACTTCAATTAATGAAGTGTTTAACCCTAGGACCGTTGTAAATCACTATCCTGCCATGATTGAGAGCAGTAAGTGCAAGAATGAAGTTTTGAAAAAACGGGCCCAGAAATGTCGGACTAGATAATTTTGTTGAAAGAAGCCTCCGTCTTCTGACAAATTGCAACTTCCTAATCATACAATACTCACTTAGAAATCGTTTGGATGATTGAAAATCCACCGATTTTGTTTCAGTCACATACAAAGTGTTATATTCATCGTGCTAAGCTAGTGTTTGGCAAGACAGCCATAGGTGCTATCCGCTGCATGCGCTCGTCATTGAGCTTTGGATACACAGCCAACAAATTCTTAGGGTAGGAATTGGCAGAAGAGGGCGGCACTGTATTCTAATGCATTGTTTTTATTGGCTCATTGGAGGCATAGGCAGAATATAGAAGGTGGTGGCAAGTGGAGAAATAATACTTTTCTACATCACAGATAAAAATGAAGCGCCCTTCTAATTGATTAATGGTATCGCAAGAAAACTGAAACCTCTTTGAAATTTAAAAGGGAGCGGGAAAGGTTGTGAGGCTCCCACTTATTTTGGCTCTAAGAATTTGTAACTATTAACTCTTTACGTTTCAATATGTTTTTCTACCAATTTTTGGCTGTAACTGAAAATAATTTGTTAGTTAGAAATATATATCATCAGCATATACGTACGTTTTTATCTCCTTTTGATTCTAATTTCATTCTTATTATCTCATCCAAGATCATGATGAATATCATTGGGCCAAGAACTGTCCCTTGTCCCACTCCTTAGTTAATCCTAAAGGATATACCAGGGAATTTTAGAGATCTGTCTGTTAGATAGTATTTCATAATTTCTAGTTAGGTAACAGCTTTAAGAGGTGTCCTCTTACGGATCGTCACATGTGTGAGAAAATTCTTTTCTTAATGTTGATAAAAATTTTCTGTGCTTATGTTGTGTGGCACTCGTAGTTTTTCCCAGTGCTATCTTATTTTTAAGCGTCAATCTAGGTATAGGTATAATCTTTTTTTTTTCTTTTTTTTCAGAAATTAGAATTGCTTGCAAAAAATTTGCTTTTTGAATCGCTAAATTGGTAAGTCTATTTAAATTCAAGTTTCATCATGCATAGATGTAATTACCCATAAGAAATCTATCTGCCATGAATTTCCTATTAAGGTGATTCGGCGGTTGCCATTTTTTGTGTCAGAGGGACGTGTGATATATCGCGTCAATTGTTCCATAATTTCAGCTACTTGTCACTTTTTTCATATTTTGAGATGGCACTTCTGTTGTCATGATACTGAAGAATTCATGTACCAAATTTGACAAAGAAATTCATCGTATTAAAAGCGGGGTTTTTTCAGCTCTCTAATACGTTGAATTGTTTTGTCAAATTTGGCACGTGAATTCTTCAGTCTCATGACAACAGAATTGCAATCTCAAAATTCGAAAAAATGACCAGTACCTAAAATTATGGAACGAATGGATGTGATATATTGCACGTCCCTCTGACACAAAAAATGACAACCATTGAATCTCCTCAAGCTTAGTGCAGTGTCCTTATGGATGGATAGACAGTAATTCGTATCTGATCTAAAGTGAAGAACAAAGAATTTTAAAATGTGGCCCGAAGGCTGTAAATGACAAGGTGTTTCTTAGAATAGATGAATTTTTCTAGGTTTTCCTTGTTTCATCCTAAAAATTATTCAGCAGCAACAACACAGCGTGCAAGGATCACATTCTAGAGTCATGCCTCAAGTCATGACCATGACAGCCTTTTAATGACACAGGACTGGACTGGAAGCCAGGCTCACTGATGAATGTGATTTACTGATGAGGTCTAAAAAGACTCACAGCATGTAATATTCGATTGTATCTGCCTGAGCTGAACACTCCCCACCCCTCCGATCAGTCTTCCACCAATACTCACTAGAGTTCATTTTATTCTCCTTTCCAATAGAAAAAAACCATTGTGTTCTCCCTTGTTGTCAGTCTTGGACCAAAAACCATGTAATGAGCATCAATCATGCACAGAGATGCAAAAAGAAATTTCATTCTAGTATTTAAGGCTTAATAGGTAAAATCTAATTTTCACCTCAAAAGAACTGATCCTTCACAACTCAGCAGTACCGTGTTGAGGTACAGTCAAAGAACACTTGTAGGAAAGCTACAGACTTTCCACTAGACGATTCGAACAAATTTTTAAAGAGAAGAGCAAAAAAAAATGAGTAAAAGCAGCCGGTCATCAGTTTGGACAGTTTTAAAAGTGAAGACATTTTTCAGAAGTGAAGAAGGAGCNTTTCTGCACAATCATGCAACGCTGTTGGATAATTTACTGGCCTCAAGTCGGCATTTTCTCCCTACTAAAAGCAGCCGGTCATCAGTTTGGACAGTTTTAAAAGTGAAGACATTTTTCAGAAGTGAAGAAGGAGCGAATCCCGAATCGGGTGAACGTTAGGCCAGGAGGCTCTTTTCGCACCCCTGCATTGATCATTAACAGAATGCTGAAGGGAATATTACTGGATCAAAGCTCATTCTGGTATAAAATTTGAAATAGGTTAAAACGAGTTTTCACCCCCAAAACAATTGATTTTATTTTTAAGTCATTGTCTGAAGTGTCTAGATCTGGACTGCTGGTTTCCTGCTTGGGAGGGCCCCCCCCTCCCCTTCTAACCTAGTCTAAGATTTCGAAGGGCTGCTATTAAAGACTGGTGAAGGGCCCAAAGAGTGAATCTTATGAGAGCATTTCGATGTTGCATACGTGTACATCCCTAAACTTGTATTTGCGAGAAAGCTTGTGATCGTAATCTTTTAGCTGGTGCCTGTGAAAAAATGAAAGAAATTAAACCAGACCTCGCAAATGCTTACTTAAACTCTAAGAGCCGAATCGCTGAAATTTGTGGAATCCGTGCGCGACTTGTGGCTTTAAGTCACACAGAAAGGCGTTTAAATAAATAGTCGAAGAGCGCTCGGATATCGAGGTCTAAATTAGCTCAAAGCATATCGATTTTGAAACAGAATGAAAAAAGAATGGCAATTGTGATTGCAGAGTTGGATACATTTGAAGGCGCCAAGATTGCCCTTCCGGGCACTTCCGTCATCTCGGAATTTAAAATTTGGAAATTGAACTAAAAATTCGACGTCCACGTCAGTAAATACGCTCTGGCGCCAAGTTTAAATAAAATCGATCAAACTGGTGCCAAGGATATAACATTTTAGGTCACTTCCACCATCTTGGATTATTGAATTTTCATGTCACAAAATAGGCTTTGTTGCCATGTTTCTCTAAAATCAATCGAACAGGAGCTGAGATACTAATTTTCGCCCTATCCGTCATCTTGGATTATCGAATTTGAGTTAAAATCGAATTGCTTTCGAAAAAGTCGGGAAGGAGTTATGTGCAATCTGTAAATACTTACTTCCTATTTTCGCCGTAGGGTTCAATCGACTTAAATAGTTTTTCTGCGCAAGCGAACTGGAAAAACTAATTGACGAAGTCGCATATTAAGATGAATCAAATTCTCGCATCATCGTTGGGGAAGGAAGGTGATTTCAAAGTTTTGCTGAACATAATTTTCTCGACAAGAATGAAACTTCGCCATCGAGACTTCGCATAATCAATCCCGGCACTTCGTGCAACCATTGGGGCACTGAGGTGTTGCTTATTATCAGATGAAATTGAAGGCGAAGGGCTCACGTGATTTAACCAGCAGTTTTCAACAGTGCAGGATCGTGGAAACAGTACCATACATACTATTTGTTTACACATTTTCTCTCATATTCCTTTGCATATTCATGTAAGGGTCGTATTTTTAAAAAATGAGTAGAATGACGTCATTATACAATCCATTGTTTAATTAAACATGATTGGAATGGCATCTATGAATAGTAAAATAAGGATTAAAACAAGAACCTTGATGCTCATAATTTTCTTACTTACATAATTTAGTACATGCAGAGGTGGGAGCCGAAGCTTTTCAAACGTCTGGCGTTCATCATCAGGGCATACATAGTAATAACAACGAAAATGGTAATAAGCAACAAGCACTAATAATCTACATCATGCACAACATTCAAATACATAGCTCAAATAATAAATAGCAAAAGCTGTACAGGTAAGAGAGGGGACAGGGAGTTGACAAGTGATAAGACATCGGCTTCGGCTCCCACCTCTGCATGTACTAAATTATGTAAGTGAAAAAAATTACGAGCATCAAGGTTCTTGTTTTAATCCTTATTTTATAATCCATTGTTTGGTCGAAACCAAAGGGTATCCCTGGGTAAGGGCACCAAAATGCCCCTCCTCACGGATTTTGAATTTAATGGTCTAAACCCTTTCAGGAGGTCCTAAAAACATAGTTTCGGGCAATTTTACCCTCCTGACCCCAACCACCCCCTCCAGCCCCGAAAAACCCATTTTTCTGGGAATTTTGGGGTATTTTCACGTTTTATTTCATATCTCCCGCAATTTTCGATAAAAATGCACCAAAATTTCACCAATTACACATCAGACCAGTCAGATTCTTGGGTAAAAAAATCAAATTTATCGTACCTTATTTAGGTCCCTAAAAAAATTCGTAAAAATCGTCAATTTCCAATTTTTTTCAGATTTTAGCGGTTTTAAAAAAATGAGGACACATACATTTTTTTTTTGCCTTAAAATGTAGGTAATATACCCAGTTGTTACCCCAAAAAAATTTCAAGCCTTCACGCGTGGTGCGTCCCACCGAAAAAATTGCACCTTGTGTATTTGGTGGTTTTTGGCGCCAAAACGGTTAAAATGGCTCTTTTGGCAACGGTTTACTCGCACGCTATCAAGATTGTAACACTAAAATCTCTAATTTTTGGTTTCAATGTTCAAGAGGTATGCCTTAATATCGTCAGAAAAGGTTTCAAGTCGATCGAGTCCTTGCGCCCCACGTAAAGTACCGGTTTTTGGCGCCGAAATGGTCAATATTGCTATTTCAGAAGAGGTTACTCGCGTAGGGTGGCTCTTATTTTTGAATTTACGGAGTTTAAAGTGCGGAACCCTGCAAATGGTTTCATTTGATGAGAAAATAATGGGGAAAAAATAAAAATTGAGAAAAAAATGTTTTAAAACGCGCCTAAAAGAGCCTAAAGTTCCGAGCGTGGCGTGCGAAGACGCGTTTTTTCGTCACTTCGCGAATTTTTTCCCTCCTTTTAAAATGTTTCTACGGCTTTGAAATTTTTAGAGATTATACACTGTTTAGAGTACTTTGCGAGAAAAATAATGAAATTTACATAGCTTAGTTTAAAATTCTTACTTATCCCCATCAAAGAGGCCACGTCGTGCGATTTTGCCGATTTTCCCTTTATATCGTTCATTTGCATGTTAGTCCCGAAATACCATTAAATCGACTTGTTTTCCAGCAGCTGAACAGAATTGTTTATGTTTCGTTTAAATGACTCGGTAGACTATCTAGAAACGGTCTACTTCTAGAATCTGAAGAATTTTTGCTTTTGACTCGTGAAAAAATTTAATCTCGTTCAGGCAAACCGAGCCGAGAGAATGTTATGAGCCATCATCGACGAAATCGCATAATGTGGCCACTGCGAAGGAGAAAAGGGAACATTTTAAAAGTAGCGAGGTTTATTTTGTTAGCTTCTTCGTTATTTACTATAAAGTATGTGACACTGCAGAAACCGTAGCAACAATTTAAAGGTGGAAAAAAGACACGCCGTGCGGGGAGATTATAAGGAAAAATTGGCAAAATCGCACGACGTGGCCTCTTTGATGGGGATAAGTAAGAATTTTAAACTAAGCTATGTAAATTTCATTATTTTTCTCGCAAAGTACTCTAAACAGTGTATAATCTCTAAAAATTTCAAAGCCGTAGAAACATTTTAAAAGGAGGGAAAAAATTCGCGAAGTGACGAAAAAACGCGTCTTCGCACGCCACGCTCGGAACTCTAGGCTCTTTTAGGCGCGTTTTAAAACATTTTTTTCTCAATTTTTATTTTTTCCCCATTATTTTCTCATCAAATGAAACCATTTGCAGGGTTCCGCACTTTAAACTCCGTAAATTCAAAAATAAGAGCCACCCTACGCGAGTAACCTCTTCTGAAATAGCAATATTGACCATTCCGGCGCCAAAAACCGGTACTTTACGTGGGGCGCAAGGACTCGATCGACTTGAAACCTTTTCTGACGATATTAAGGCATACCTCTTGAACATTGAAACCAAAAATTAGAGATTTTAGTGTTACAATCTTGATAGCGTGCGAGTAAACCGTTGCCAAAAGAGCCATTTTAACCGTTTTGGCGCCAAAAAAACAATTTTTTCGGTGGGACGCACCACGCGTGAAGGCTTGAAATTTTTTTGGGGTAACAACTGGGTATATTACCTACATTTTAAGGCAAAAAAAAATGTATGTGTCCTCATTTTTTTTTAAAACCGCTAAAATCTGAAAAAAATTGGAAATTGACGATTTTTACGAATTTTTTTAGGGACCTAAATAAGGTACGATAAATTTGATTTTTTTACCCAAGAATCTGACTGGTCTGATGTGTAATTGGTGAAATTTTGGTGCATTTTTATCGAAAATTGCGGGAGATATGAAATAAAACGTGAAAATACCCCAAAATTCCCCGAAAAATGGGTTTTTCGGGGCTGGAGGGGGGGTGGTTGGGGTCAGGAGGGTAAAATTGCCCAAAACTATGTTTTTAGGACCTCCTGAAAGGGTTTAGACCATTAAATTCAAAATCCGTGAGGAGGGGCATTTTGGTGCCCTTACCCAGGGATACCCTTTGTCAAAACTTCTTGGTTTTCGAGTAACACATTCACGAAAATTTTGCAGAATTTTAACTTTGACCTCCACCGCGTCTTTCCAAAATTTTTTGGGGGCTTGAAACTTTGGGAAAAGATGGGGCATTGTTTGGTGAATGAAAAGCGCAAGTCTCAAAGGTATCCGCCCCGAGCCTGAAACGTCCGCTTTGTACGTAATCCTATTATCGCCTTTTATATTTCAGACACCCTTCATATTCATTTTTGTCCAGGACTTCGAATGGATCAATCCAAGGCAAAGAAAACATCTGGAAACCCTCTGCTCAACATTACTGAAAATAGAATAGTCCCCTATCCTCCCAAAGCCCTTCACTGAGTTGGCACACCTTCATTTGGACGGAGTTAAACAGAAAGGAACCAAGCCACATCGGGATCGAACCGAGAAATAGAGGTTTAAAGTTTGGCTCCTGCATAAGACTCAATGTAAAAGATAAACTTCAAGTTCAATTTCTGCAAAATTTGCTCCAACAAAAACTTTGAATTTTTGGCGATAGATAGTAGAGCAGTGGTTGAGTTCAAAACCCTTCATAACTCAATTTTTTCCAAAATGTGGGTTGGTTCCTTTCCGCTTAACTCAGTCCATTTCTTCTAAAATCCCCTGTCGCCACCCTTTCACTGCTCTATTCAACACTCGCGTGTTAAATGTGTAGCTGACGGCTTTTATACTTATTTTTGTCCAGGATTCCGAATGGATCAATCGAAGGCAATGAACACATCTGGATACCCACGACTCAACATACCTGAAGATACGAGTCTTACGACGGCATCGGACTCGGAATCAAGAATCAATCCACGGGACAGCCACCTGGAGGATGTTGCTACGGTATTTATAAAGTGTGAAGTAACGGAATCGGAAGGGGAATCAACAACTGGCACACAGTTCGGCGACCATGTCCTGGAGTATGTAAAAAATGAGGGTGGAACTTCTCTGAGTGATGAATTAACGTCCTTTGAAGGGTTCAAAATCGACTCGTATTCTTGCGATACTTCCATCGCTGCTCAAGCAAAAGTAAAAGTCGAAGTAGGAGAAGGCGATGAAAGTCTGACAAACGAGATACGTGCTACTTTTGATATCAAAACTGAAAGCATTTCCCAATCCGAAGAAGAGGAATCTGCGGGCGAAGAGAGGGAGCACAATTTTACGAATCATATTCGAGATCCATGTGATAATCCTAAAATATCTCTTCCAGTGAAACGAGAAACAATCGACGACAAACATGAAGATCATAACCAACTGCAAAGAGATCCCAGACATCAAACGGAGTCTACTAATAATGCCGAAGGAGAAGATTTATCGCCTACGCCTATCATTGAGGGATCTGTGCGTATAAGTGAACAGACCAAGATTGTCAAGAAATCGTTGAATTGCAATCTACGTTCTTCCTCACATGTTGGTAACGGAAATCTAGAGGAACATTACCGAACGCATACCGGAGAAAAACTATATAGATGCAGTCATTGCTCTGCATCTTTTTTGAAAAAAAGAGGTCTCCGGCAACATATCCTGCGAAATGACGTTACAAAGAAAACATTTCAATGCGGTGTTTGCACTTCATCCTTTGCTTATAAGAGTCATTTCGAAGCACACATGCTAACGCATACTAAAAAGAAACCTTTTAGTTGCAATCAATGTACTTCATCCTTTGCCCGAAAAGGGGATTTAAACCGGCACACGCTAGCGCATACTGGTGAAAAACCGTTCAGTTGTAGTCTTTGCGATTTATCTTTTGCTCTAAAGAGTGTTTTAGATAATCACATGCGCAGGCACACTGGTGAGAAACCATTCAGTTGCAATCAGTGCCCTTCATCCTATGTCCATAAAAGCAATTTGAAGATACATATGCTCACGCATACTGGTGAAAAACCATTCGTTTGCGCTCATTGCCATTCCTCTTTCACTCAGAAAAGCAGTTTAAGGATACATATGCGCACGCATACTGGTGAGAAACCATTCACTTGCAATATGTGCCCTTCATCCTTTGCCCTTAAAGGTACTATGAAGTCGCATATGCTAACGCATACTGGTGACAAACAGTTCTGTTGCAGTCATTGTACTTCATACTTTTCTCTAAAGGAGACTTTAAGAAGGCATATGCGAAGGCATACTGGTGAGAAGCCTTTTAGATGCAATCAGTGTACTTCATCCTTTTCTCGGAAGACTACTTTGAATATACACATGCGCAGGCATACTGGTGAGAAACCATACAGTTGCAGTCGTTGCAAATCATCCTTTGTTTGTAAGAATGAATTAAATGCACACATGCGAACGCATACTGGTGATAAACCATTCAGTTGCAATCAGTGTACTGCTTCCTTCGCCCAGAAGGGCTCTTTAACGATACATATGCGAAATCATACTGGTGACAGGTCATTCAGTTGCAATCAATGCAATTCATCCTTTTCTAGCAAGAGCACTTTGCATCATCACATGAGAACACATACTGGTGAGAAACCATACAGTTGCAGTCGTTGCAAATCATCCTTTGTTTGTAAGGATAATTTAAATGCACACTTGCGAACGCATACTGGTGATAAACCATTCCGTTGAAATCTGGGCACTCCATCATTTTCTCGAAAGACAAAATTGATCGCTTCTATCTCAAGCCCCTCCTTCACTAGGGGTTCTATCAAGTTCTCGCCGTATACTCGGATCAGTCTCTTCCTCATAGACTCCGATCTTTGAAACCGCCAACTTTTTATCTTCCTATTACCTAATCTTTTATATTTCAACACTCTCGCGTCAAAATAGCTGATACCTTTCATATTTATTTTTGTCCAGGAGTCGGGATGGACCAATCCAAGGCAATGAACGCATCTGGATACCCACAACTCATTATTTCTGAAAACAGGAGTCTTACGACGGCATCGGACTTGGAATCAAGGATCACTCCGCAGGACAGCAACCTGGAGGATGTTGAAACGGTATTTATAAAGTGTGAAGTAACTGAAACGGAGGGGGAATCAACAACTGGCACACAGTTCAGTGATGATGCTGTAAAGTACATAAAAAGGGAAACTGCAGCTTTTCTGTGTGATGAATTACCGTCTTTTGAAGGATACCAAATCGACTCGTATTCTTGCAATACTTCCGTCGCTGCTCAAGCCCAAGTAAAACTCGAAGCAGGAGAAGAGAATGAAAGTTTGACAAAGCAGATACATACCACTTTTGATATCAAAACTGAAAGCATTTCCCCATCCGAAGAAGAGGAATATCCAGGAGAAGAGAGGGAGCACGATTTTACGAATGATATTCTAGATCCGTGTGATTATCCTCAATTATCTCTTCCAGTGAAACGAGAAACAATCGGCGACCAACCTCAAGATCGTGATCAGAAAATAGAACCCAGACATCCAACGGAGCCTTCTGCATACGGTAGGGGAGGGGATTCATCACACCCACCCACCGTTAGGGGGTCTCAACATTTAAGCACTTCATCCTTTTCCCAAGAGAGCAGTTCGGAGATGCATATGCAAACGCGTACTGGTGATAAACCATTCAGTTGCAGTGACTGTACTTTATACTTTTCTACAAAGGGCAGTTTGAAGAAACATATGCAAACGCATACTGGTGATAAACCATTCAGTTGCAAGCATTGCGCCTTATCATTTGTTAATGAGAGACATTTAAATGGACATTTGCGAACGCATACTAATGAGAAACCATTTAGTTGCGATCAGTGTCCTTTATCTTTTTTTCGAAAGAACAATTTACTTCGGCATATTCGAACGCATATTCGTGAGAAACCGTTTACTTCCAATGAGTGCTCTTCATCCTTTTCTAGCAAACGCGGTTTGAATACAAGTATGAAAACGCATACTGGCGAGAAACTGTTTAGTTGCGACCAGTGCAATTCATCTTTCATTCGAAAAGACAATTTACTCATGCATATTCGAACTCATACTGGTGAAAAACCATTCAGTTGCAATCAGTGCACTTCATCCTTTTCTAGCAAGACCATTTTGGATAATCACATGAGAACGCATACTGGTGAGAAACCATTCAGTTGCAATCAGTGTACTGCTTCCTTCGCCCAGAAGGGCTCTTTAACGATACATATGCGAAATCATACTGGTGACAGGCCATTCAGTTGCAATCAATGCAATTCATCCTTTTCTAGCAAGAGCACTTTGCATCATCACATGAGAACACATACTGGTGAGAAACCATTCAGTTGCAGTCATTGCACATCATCCTTTGCTCATAAGGGTAATTTAAATGCACACATGCGAACTCATACTGGTGAAAGACCTTTCAGTTGCAATCAATGCAATTCATCTTATACTTCTAAGAGTAGTTTGGACTTGCATACTTTAACGCATACTCGTGAGAAACAATTTAATTGCTGGCAGTGCTATTCATCTTTCGATCGATTGGGTGAACTGCTCAAGCATAAGCGAATACATACCGGGTAGAAGCCCTCCAGTTGCGGTTATTGCCGTTCACATTCGCCATTTAGGCAGGTGCACGCAGGCATATTCGAATGCACTCTGTCGAAATACCATTCACTTGCAATCAGTGCTCTGCCTCCTTTGCTCAAACGTGCTTTTTAAGTAACCATTCGGAAACTCATACCGCCAAGAGACCATTTAGTTACTGTGAATGCACTTCATTTTTGCTGAAAACAGCTATTTAACCCTTGTCAAGAGATGACCATCGTGTGTTTAGTACGCAGGGTATTTCTTGAGGTAATCATAAGGAGTCTGATCGGATTCTAAATAACGAGTGAACCCCACTTCAGTGGTAAGTTTGCAGCCATCAATAACTCGTTCCAACGGCGATTCACACTTTTCGAGCCATTGAACAAGGGTTATGGTTTCAGCATCAGCTTTAGTTCTAGGTATCAAGGTTTCAGGTTGTTTATTTCCTAAACAGAAGAAAGAGAAAGTTTCATACATATCCAAACAAACACTTCAAAAAAGCCTTCAATGATCTTGGACCGATTCTAAAAAGTGTACTTGATGATAGTTTTCACAAATGATAATGCTGGCGTCTTCTGTCAATTGCACCCCTCCCCCCCCCCCCCCCCCCCCNACTTTTTCATTTCACAATTTTTATCACGCTCCAATGTAGAAGACACGAGTCACGCTCGCTCGTTCGTTACCCGCCAGGGGGCGCCTGTTGTCAAATCTGGACAATACAATACACTTACAGCTTTGGCATCTGACATTGATATTGGTCCAAGCATGTAAGGATAAAGTCTTGGGGAATTTTAACTGTGTTGTCAGATTGCTCCAATTCTAGACCTAAACAATATTTGGCCAAAGCTAGGTTATTAATTGTAAATGTGGCTGCGAGGTCCTCTCTCAGTTTTTGCCTTTCTACATCATTGTTTGAAAATAACAGAAATTCATCGACATGAAGTGCGTAATGAGTACTAATTGAGTTATCTTTAAATCGTTTGAAAAACAAATGTGGTTCATATTTTGATTGAACATGGTTTAGGTTTAGCAAGATTTTAGTCGCTTTTTGACTCCATACAGATGAGGATTGTGTAAGGCCAGGCCGTACAAGGCACGTTTTATTAAGCAAACCAAATTTTTACCTACAGATAAACCTTCTGGTTGCAGTATTTAGATGGTCTCATTTAGCGTTGCATTCAGACAGGCAGTATTTGTCAGTTTTAGGAATTCATGACCAAATAATATCAACAATCTCTCTCACTCCTTTCCATATTTCTGAATTTATCGCGCATTCGCAAAATAGTTTTAAGCCAAAGGATCAATCCAGTCGCTTTTCGCTGCGATCACATGGTTGTCGTATTTAGTGACTTGTTTATTACTCTCATTTTTTCTTCAGTTTTACTAAGTTTTACACACCCCCTCTGTCCTGACAAGGTCCCAAAAAAAATTAAGAAAATGAGGAAAAGAAAATGCTAAATAATTTGAGCTGTGGACTGTATCCATTTACCTTGAAAAAGGCTACCAGGCCGCGCGGGGCCGGCTTCAGAAAAAGTCTGGGTTCCCTAATTAACACTTTAACGAACAATCTGGAACAGCAGGCTGCGCGGAACCGGCTTCAAAGCTAGTCTGGGCTGCTAAGAAATATTAAGAGCATTAATTTGATTACTAAACGACGACAAAAAAACTGACGAAAGAATTTTAAATTTATTGATAGGCGAATTAAATGAGAAATTATTACTTACTTTGCAAGAATAGAGAGAGACTGAATTGATATGAAATGAAATAACTATAACTTGAAGAGCTTATCGTCCGAAACGTTTACTGTAGGCATTAAATTTAAAAAGCTAGAAGAACTTTTACATATACCGCGAAATTTTAAAGCGTTACTGGGATTCCAGTAGGAACGAAAGCGAATCACTAATGGGTACCCGTTTCAATCCTAAATAATAATAATAAAAGAAGACAGAGAAGAAACCTAAGAGGAGCCTTAATGAATGCCAGTACGGAGGAATTGCGTCACTGGGTACCAGTGAGGTGGCGAAAGAGAGCGGAGACAGGACGACCACACGGGGGACCCTACTTAGCGCTATTTTGGCTCGATGATCGCGAGACCAAACAACAAACTAAAAGAAGGACTTAATAATGGGACAAAAGGAAAATCTGCGTTAACTAAAAGTAGCTCTATGGTATCCTCCTTAGGATGCAAAAATAAAATAAAATCTTCCCCAAGTTTTTCTCCGGAAAAACGGGATCAAAGTAACCGGGTTGACTTAGGAGACCTGTGCGCCATCTCGCGGCTTGGCGCGGTACTGACGTTTTGCCGGTCTAGCGCGGGGATAGAAGTACGCTAGCCGGCGCGGCGGTTACGGTGGCTGCTTGCACGCGTTGCCAAGTTGCGTCGCATTGCATGTAAGAATGATGACATAAATTGAAATTATATAAAGAGCCGTATGCAAAAACGACATTTTTCGCCCCCCCACTAAAACTTATTCAAACTTCGTCTATCAGTTACTAATACTGGAGCGCTTCTTTCCCCAAATTTTCAGACCCCCAAAAAATTTTGGGGGGGCGCTAGGGGGGGTGGAAGTCAAAACCTGCGACCCTCGATATCTTTCGAACGAAACAAGATATTGAGGCCCGGTTTGGACGAAAAATCGTCTAAAATTGCATACTTTAAGATTCTAAAGGTCAAAATCCCAAAATTAAATTTTTAACTTAACTTATGTGCTTTTTTTCAGTTTTTGAGGAAAAACAATTTCTTTTAAACAGATTAAACTGAAATTTCACATTTTTTAAATTGAACCAAAACCAGTTTTTTAAATTGTTCGTCTTTTTCCGCATCCAACGAGTGGTCGTATAAGCTGGGGAACCGAACGGTTCCGGAGTTATGATCGATTGAAGTTCCCGCTCAACGCGCGCCGACCGATTTTCGCGCGCAAAAAAGTCGGATTTGACTGTTATCAAATCAGATTTAATGTTCAAACTGAGCAAAATGCATTATTAGGGACTCTTGAGGGTCGCTGAGTCCAGAAATTACAGATACTTCCAAAAAATTCACGTTTTTAAATTTACAGCTCCGTAGCGCTATTTTAGAGGCCCACTGAGCGCCGACCGGCCGCTCAGTGGTCCTGTACGAAGCTGTAATTTTAAAAACGTGAATTTTTTGGAAGTATCTGTAATTTCTGGACTCAGCGACCCTCAAGAGTCCCTTATAATGCATTTTGCTCAGTTTGAACATTAAATCTGATTTAATAACAGTCAAATCCGACTTTTTTGCGCGCGAAAATCGGTCGGCGCGCGTTGAGCGGGAACTTCAATCGATCATAACTCCGGAACCGTTCGGTTCCCCAGCTTATACGACCACTCGTTGGATGCGGAAAAAGACGAACAATTTAAAAAACTGGTTTTGGTTCAAATCAAAAAATGTGAAATTTCAGTTTAATCTGTTTAAAAGAAATTGTTTTTCCTCAAAAACTGAAAAAAAGCACATAAGTTAAGTTAAAAATTTAATTTTGGGATTT